ACCGCTCATCCTGAGGCCCAGCAGGTCCAAGACTGGCCTTCCCTTACCTGCTTGTGCATGGTGAGGCTGAAGTTCTCGAGTTTCCCATCAGGGAGCAGGATCTGAAGATCATAGGCCACCTCCAAGACCTGGCTCAGACTCTGCAACACAAGGTGACCGTCAGAGGCAGGGTCAGCGAGGAGAACCATGGAGCTCTCCTCACACCCACATACCCGCGCAGGCAGGCACGGGCCAGCGTTGCTTTCCCAGGCGGTATCGCACCACGGTGACATGAAGTTTGTCAACACTTTCCTCATACTGCCACAGGAGACAGGGGAGCCTCTCAAAAACAGTATCATGATGCCCCTCATGATGGAGAAGGAGGTCCATCGTGGGTCCCAGCACCTTGACCGCAGCCTGCTGCAGCTGCAGAGAGGGAAGGAAGAACTGAATCCTTCAGACAGACTGTCTGGGAGGTTCCTCTGGATCAGCAAGAGGCAGTTTTTCCTCTTCCTAGGACAACAGCACCCTTGGTTCATCATTGGACCAGCCCTGTCTGCATGGCTCCCACCTATGACAGCTGGAAGGGCTGTGAAATATGGCTCTGGGGCTGGTTCATGGATCACACCTTCCCACTGTGCTGATGTGCCCAGGTTCGTGTGCAAATCAGCAAATTCCTGCTTGTTGCCACCCTCCTGGGCACCAAAAAAAAGACACCTGGAAGGACCTGTCCCTATCCCACTGCTCACTGGCACCCATTAGCGCACACAACTGCATGCTGCCTGCAGGCAGAGCAGATTCTCATGGACATGGTATCAGCCCCTGAGACTGGGTCTTCCCTGCCAGGACTGCACAGACAGGCAAACAGAGACACGTGACAGGCATGCTACAGATTTAGAAAGACAGGAGCCCTCTGCTCTGGGTCCTCGCTGCTCAGCCAGCTGCTGCTCATGAGATTAAAAAAAGGGAGCAGGTAGAAACAGTTGTCGGCTATCTGATTGATGGGGAACGGGATCTCGTCCCTGACCCGCAATTTCATGTTGGGAGCGTGAGCAAAGCCTTGCACCACTGCAGAGGGGGAGCAAAGACAAGACATCTGCACAGGAACACTGGAGTGAGGAAGTAGCAGCAGGACACGCAGGCCTGGTGGTCATGACAATGTCCCGGCAGACCCCGCACTGCTGGGGGCAGATGGAGAAGTTGGGACAGGTGGAGCAGGCACCAGAGACTACAACTAGGATTCAATCTACTCCATTTGCCCCTGGTCCAAGAGCTTCAGGGCCTTGGTGACGGCTCCTGGGAAATACTCTGCAAGAGCCATAGAGGGCCCAATCCTGCTTGCTGCTCAGAGCTTCCAACCAGCCCGAGGAGGGGATCGTTCTCCACCAGGGGTTGGATGAGGCCCAGGAGGTGCAGCGGAGGCCCCCTGACCAGTGGGGACACTCCAGTGGGGCCCAGGCTCGGTGTTAGCACTGGGACACCTGCAGGAGGGACTCGCACTCATCTCCACGCAGCGCCTGCTTCATCTTGGTCTCCACCAGCCTCAGCACAAAACACAGTTTGCTGAGCGTCCGCACAAGAAAGGGCTCAGACCTCAGTGCTGCAGAAGGGATGGGAGGACACATTGTGCTGTTAGAGACATCCCTGTCCACCTTGATCCCTGACACTCAGGAGTGTGGCTGGGCTGGGCTGCCTGCTGTGGCCTCCCCAGCCAAGCCGTGCTGGGTGAGCAGCACAAAGGGGCTTTGAAGCTGTCAGAGAAACCCCACAGTGAACTCCCCTATGTAGGGCAATCCTGTGTCTGCTGCCCCTCCCATGCCCAGATGCAGGAGAGGAGCAGGGGGTGGAGGGGCATTGAGGAATGGCACGGCTCCTGCCCACCTGGTCTCCACTCCTTCCATCCTGAATGCCCTTCCAGCTGTGACAGGAGTTAGTGCCGTCACCTTAGAGCCAGGCTCTTTGGGCCCCAAATCCAGCTCAGCTGTGGTGGCCCCATTGGACAGAGCTGGTAGCATCTCCTCCCTCCACAATCCATGATCATATCCTAGAAACAAGGCAGGCAATGCTGTACCATAGGCCGAGGCCAGGTCACCCAGTGTAATCAGGGAGAAAAGGGGTGGGAGCTGCATGATGCCCCCGTGACTCTGCATCTCATACATCACATCCTTGTCAAAGGTGCCAGCAAGCGCCACAAGGGTTTTTCCTGCAGCCAACTGCAGTCCATCAGTTTCTTGCTAGAATAAAAAAAGAAAACTGGAGCAGATGCCCGACACACACTTTATACCGCCATAAGTCAGGCTGGCGACCAAGTTACCTCCTCTAAAAGGGAGGGGGAATGATGCATTAGCCTAGGTTCTCCAGTGGCCCAGTGTCTGCCCACCACCTTAGGTCCATGTCATCCTTGGGTAACCCTTGGCTCCAAGCAAACTGGCGCCCCCACCACCTACCAGCCACACACTGTAATAGCTGCTCCTGAATTAGTCAAATCCCCCTGTAGCAGGAGGGCTGTCAGGGTCGCCGTGCACTCCCCTGTCGCCTCCTTTACCGTGTCTCGTTGCCAACTGGCACCCTCCAATTCACACCCGCCACGACTTTGTTCTTCTATATATATATTATAGGGAGTCTGCCTTTCGCCTTCTGGTCCACGGTTGTCCTGTTATCTCTGTACTCTATCCTTATGGGCTATGCGTGGCTCCTACCACCCCAATACCACGCCCCAAGCCTCACAGCTGTCACAGACGTTGTTCTGTCTCTTTCCATCTCCACGCCTTCCCTGGCGCTCGGGCTCTCCGCAGTCCCATCTCTCTCTCTACGCGCCCTCTCTCAGGGCCTTCTCAGTAACGCCGCCCCTTCTCCGGGGCCTTCTCCGTAATGCCGCCCTCCTCTGGGGCTGAGGTCTGTGAACCCCAAATGCTGTGCCCTCACTGGTGCTGGGGTCCCCACACTGCTGTGGGTCCCCTATGAGGCTTCTTCCAGCCCCTAATAGCCTCACCCAAACCACAGGTGTAAAAATAGTAAACACAAACACAAGCCTCTTGGCTACAACGTAAGCATGTGCCACCCAGCTCTAACTACGCTCAAGCCTACCGGGGGTGCTCCATCCCGCCGCAGTGACAGACGCTGCTTCGGCATCTGGCTTCTCTTCTCTTCTCTTCTCTTCTCTTCTCTTCTCTTCTCTTCTCTTCTCTTGCAGGGAGCTCCTTTGTCCTTGGCTGCTGGTAGGGAACTGCCGGCCAGCCTCCTGCCTGTGGTTTATATAGGAGCTAGGCCCTGCCCCTTCTTGTCAGCTGGCTAGGCAGGTGCGAATCATTAGCTCCCTCTAGTTGCCTCAGCAACCGGCACCTAAGGAGTCTTCCCAGCTCTCTGAGGAGCAGGCACCTTAGTGCCCTGCTACACCCCCTAATAATCTCTTGCATGAGATCCCACACTCATGAGCACCCAGCTCCAGCACGGGCCAGGAAACTTCTTGGACAATGTTGGTGCTTTCCTCTGCGTTCTGGTCTTTCACAGCACAGGAGCTGCCCCATGTTTCAGAGGAACTCATCACTAGTCTGGATATTGTCCATGTTCTCCAGAAATATCTGGAGGAGATGTGTCTTGAGCAAGGCTGCAGGCTCAAACCAAGGCCTGTCCAGGAGACACACCATAGGCTCAAGCTGCACTGCACCAAACAAACCGAGCATAGGATAAGGTTTTGTGAGGAGCAACTGGGCAGAGCTCACTCACCTGGGTCCCATATCTGTGGGGGTCAAGTGAATGATCCTCCTGACAAGGCTCCAATCCAGGCCCTTTGTGTCCCCCTGCGAGACTTTCTCGACACTGGAGTAAATGGTTACTTGTCTCCTGGGAACACACCAAGAAAGAGAACAAGAGGGCAGGCTTTCCTTTGGGACCAGTGCCAGACCATCCAGGACTATCGTGTTGAACATCAGATACCCGGGATCACAGCAGCTCTGATGGGAACTTGATCCCTGGAAAGGAACACAACCCAGGGTGTCTTGGGTTGGCTCTTGCATGCAGATGTTGACAGCTGGCACTAGCAAGGGAGGAGTGTCAGGCACCGAGGGGGCAGATGCAACAGGATGGCGGGAGAAACAGAAATACGATCACAAAAGCAGTCAGATGCATCCCAGGCACCGTCACCCCCGTGCACTGGGGAGGTGGCAGTGACTGACACATGTTTCCGTCAGACAGGGGGACACTTGGGGAGTGATAAAACGCTGCTGGGTGACCCTGAGTAGCAAATTTAACAGGGGGTTGCCAAGCAAAATGCTGCCAAAAACCATTGTGTGATTGGGACTGTCGCTGAATGAAGAAAGGATTTGAAATATTTGTGAATCAGGTTCCCCTAACCCAGTGGAGTCATACTTGGATGACTGCAGATGAGTTGGGGAAGGAGTGTTGCTCAGGGTCTAGACAGAGACTCGACACCTTGGCTGTATGGCCAGTTCTTTTCCTGACTTGCTGTGGGACACTGGGCAAGTCACTTCACCTCCAGGGCCACAACACTGAGGCTTTCCAGGCTCACGAGGCTGCTGGGAACCTATATTTCATGTCAGCTCAAAGCTGTGCGATACTTGGAGGAAGACGCTAAAGAGGCTCACGGCATTATCTGCAGGGTGAGGGTTGTCTGAACGTGGCTTATGCCACATCTACCATCTACTGGGGAGGGGGAGATGATGCCATGTGAGCGTGCCCTGATGTCACAGTGACATCACAATAGAACGAGGGCATGTTGTGTTGTGACCTTGTATTGGGAGAGAAGGAATAGAAAAGACACAGGAGATGGGCAAGGACCAGTTTTAGTTGCCCCCGCCCTGCACAGCCTTGGAAGGAAACGCTTAGAGCAGCCGCGTGGTGCAGAGCCACGGCCCGACCTCCTCCCGCTGGAGGCTCTCCAGCACAAGGCTCACAGGAGTGGCCAGCTCCACGGCTGACGCCGGCCAGACCCTCTCCCTGCAGAGGCATCGCCGGTGGAAAAAACCTGACATGGAGGGAAAGGACTCTGCTGATTTCCAGGTGAGATATACCACTGGTCTCTTTCTTCACCACCCGCCAGAGCCAAAGCCAAAGCCTGTGGCCTGGCTACAAAGGAAAGGGTTCCTAGCACAGCACCCGCAGGAGAGCTCTCCAGGCCGCCCTCCCGGGCTGAGGCAGCTGGTACTGCCAAAGAGGCACTTTCCTTAGTGCCACTTAGTTCTGCCAAAAAGCCCTTCTTTGTCAGTGGGATGGAGATAATGCTCTGGTGTTGGCCATCAGCAGAAGGGCGTTATCTGTTATCATCAGTCCCGGGTGCGATGGCCGCGGCTGCACCAGCCAGAGGGGCTAGAGTGGACCTGGTCAGGGAGAGGAAGATGCATCTTCCCCTGTCTCCTCTTCCTGCTCCATTATGCTAGAAGATTTGCTTCAAAAATGGCCCACCCAGTTGAAAGGGGAAGTGGCCATCAGCAGAAGGGCGTTATCTGTTATCATCAGTCCCGGGTGCGATGGCCGCGGCTGCACCAGCCAGAGGGGCTAGAGTGGACCTGGTCAGGGAGAGGAAGATGCATCTTCCCCTGTCTCCTCTTCCTGCTCCATTATGCTAGAAGATTTGCTTCAAAAATGGCCCACCCAGTTGAAAGGGGAAGTGACTGTGACATTTGTTTTCAGGAAAATAAGGGCAGTCATGTAGACAATGACAAGTCTTTTCTCCTTGACAATTAGTTGGAGAATTGGGATCACACACAATGATTGCTTAGGGACAAAGTTGTTGAAAGTTAAGCTGCCCATACACATTCAGGGGGTGGGGAGGGGCTGTTTAAATTGGAGTGGTTCCTCAACAGCCACTCGAATGAAAATGGCTCATCTTCACATGTATTAAGTCCCCACATTTTAAAATGGCCACGGGAGCACATTAACTAAAGCTTATTCAATGAGCTTTAGTTAAAGCACCCCCACAGCTATTTTAAAATGCGGAGGGGGTGGGGGTTAATACACATGCTGGTGAGGCAATGCTGGAGCATTTTAATTAGAGCGCAGGGAAGACCCGATTAATTAGCCCTGCTCCAATGGGTCCTAATCAGAAGGCGAACCAGAACAGGTTGCCCTAGTTCTTAAACGTAGGTAATGTGTATGGAGACACCTCACACCACCCACCTGGCGGCAAGGGGGACAGGGTCAGAAACACCTCGGGGATGGAAGGAGGCCTTTCCCAGAACAGCTAACACAGTCTCCGAAGATTGGGGGCACGTCAGGGTGGACCCTGCCCTGGTAGCAATTGCCCAAGTTACAGTCCGGGCTACCAAGTAACACAGGTTTGCACAACTGAAAATCTGCCTCTTAAAAAGCTGGTTTTCACTGACCTGCCTATTCCTTGCGCTTTCTAGAATGGGTGTGGGACTAGATATTAGGCACGGAGAACACCACGGGGTCTTACCTCTGCCATTTAGGGTCAGGTTGATGTCTTCCATTGGTCAAAAATGACTTAAACAAGCTTTCCTTCTCTCACTCGCTGAGCAGTTCCTATCGCTAAGGTGTCCAGAGCCACTCAAGCCGCCAGGTCCAGCACCCAGGACAGAGGTGAGCCAACCGCTTTTGTGATGTAAGCACCACTATGACATCTAGGTGACCACGTTCTACCTCATAGATGGCTGCTGACCAATAAGGGGCTGTGTATCGTGTAAGCTTTCACATGGCTGCATAAGGCTCCATATATAAGTATCCCCAGAGGACGCTAAATTTGTTTTAATATAGAATATCCCAGTCCCTCCGATCACCTTGGAGTTCTTCTGTCTTCTCCAGGAGCGCGGTACCTTCCAACACTGATTTAGTATTTAAACCTGCCCGTGATTGAACTTGTAAGAAATAAAAACAGGTAGGGACCACGAGAAGCTTCCTCTGAGTTGCTCCTTGCTTGGCCTCTGTTGATTTTTCATCTTGTCCAGAAGGGCTTGTTGAAGTCCTCAGGTGCTACAAGACTGTGTTGCAACCATCTTGTCCAGACTGAGGTTTGGCAGGGTTTATGTTGAATTTACATTGACATTTCATGGTCGAGGTGCGGCCCACCATGATTATGAATGATTAAATGTCCTTTTTTAGCTTGACTGGTTCTACTTTGATCCCAGGTGACAAAGGCACCCGTCGAACAATCTGTAAGGACAGTGCTTGATTGTAGCCTCGC